CATGGCAACCAAAACTTGAAAATCATCAGGCAGTCGTCATCACAGGGTTTCTGTGTTGGAGCACTGTGAAGACAAATTGCTCTTGTTTTAATGGAAGTTATGATTTGTGAAAAAATGCATTAGCTATCGTGGCAACATGGTAAGGGCATCTTTTCTGCAATCTGCAATGATCTTTGTATTGAATATAGCACAGATCCTTAGATATTTCTGGAGCAGATGAAAGAAAATATACATGCAAGCTCTCTGGCATTTGAAAGAGGTGTGAGATAAATCTTTGGGGAGAAAGGAGTGTATCTCAGCTTGGTTTAGTTCTGCAAACAAGACAGCTATCTGGAATAAAATCTCAGAAAAGTTGAGCAGTGATACTTTTCACTCCATGTAGCCTGTCAAATTCATCCCAACCCTTCTCATACCTGAAGCTGACCTCCAGAAGAAGGATAAAAATATCTATTTCTTATGCAAAAAAAATTTAAATCAGCTTAGTTATACTGAAATAAGGATAAATAATTTTTGCCCAATGCTTCATTAACTCAGAAAACACTCCCTTTTTGGTAGAATGTGTTGATTGTGGTAAATATCATACTAAGCGACTTTTAGCATTTGTTTACAGGTATTTATTTAAGTTAACATTTTCTTAAATGTACTAGATGAAATAATTCATTAGAGGGCTGGCCACTCAGAAAAAAAAGACTGATGTGCCTTTGGCTTAAATTTCTGCTTTCAGAATTGACTGGATGTTTATTATTTGTGTACAAACTCAGTGTTTCTAAATACAGCAAATTTCCTTTTTAAAAAAAAATACATCAGAAAACTATATTTTTAGAATGTCTTTTGTACTAATTAAGCCAAAAATGCATGAATTATTAAACATGCTCATTTGCAGTGCTCATGTACTTGAAAGGTTTGCTTTCATTACTAATAAGGCACACACACACCACTGAAAAAAGGTAATTAGAGTATCAAAGGCAATGAACCATCCTGGAACTTTATAATGCTTTGCCTGAAAAAAATCATCGAGCTCAATAGCAAGAAACTCCATAGATATGGAAAGAGGGTTTTAAACTTCTCAAAAATAACTTCAGAACTGATGTAGGAATGGCAGAAGTTAACCCCTGTGGTTTTATTTCAAAGACTGTTTTTAAGTCAGAAATACATTAGTTCTTGTAAATCAAAGACATTTTTTATCCTGTGAGACCATTTCAATCCTAGCAATGAAGAAAATATTACATTCCCAAAATTTTTCTTTTCCAGTGTTTTTAATCATCCGCTTTGTTTTGTAGCAGTTGCAGGGAAAGATGCTTCTTGATGAGAAGAAGAAACACTGGTACTTTTTATGACAGGAAAAGGTGTACATCATATCAAATAATGAGTACTCTGTGTAAGCCATGTCAGAGATTGTGCGTTGTGTATCCAGCTTTGAAGACCAAGTTACACTCTCTGGTTTCTCATTACTGCAATCCTTTTGGAACTTCACCCCCAGACATTTAGAAAATTACAGTAAAATAACTGCATATTGTTTACACAGATTATTGTCTATGCCATCTTATGTAGATTTAGGGAGGTAAAAAAGGCCTTTTTTACATAGTCTGAAGCTCTTAAATACGTGTGAGAAATGTCTAGACAGCAGCTTGAAAATCAATCTTCATCTCCGTAAGGTTCAACACTCATCTTTTTTCATAGTCCATGCACATCCGTTGCTCTCAAGAAGGAGCAATGTGTTAAGACACAGAAGCGGCTCTCTGAGGCAGCTGAGGGAGACTGCCAATGAGCCATGCTTCGACTTCTGCTCTGCACCAGCTCCTTCGTGGAATGTCGTCCATAAAACAGAAAATGAAGTAGTAAGAGGGAATGCATGTGAAATGACCTGGCTGGTCTTAATAAAGCAGTGGCCATTGTGCTGCCTGGCAGCAGCCCGTCATGGCCGATGTCAGGGCAACAGACATCTTTGGGAAAAGGCCCATTGTTGCAGGAAACAGGAATGAGGGTTCAGTGCACGGAATCAGTCGTCGTCTTCTGTGGCTGAGAGACTGCTATGTCACATGGGCGGCAAACGTGTGAGCACAAGAGAAATCCCACTTTCTGGCCTCGGCAGTCTCTTAACCCCTGATTAAAGGGCTTGGTATTATAGTTAGTCACAAAGTTTTCACACCTACTACTGCCATCACAGAGTAATGCTTTGCTGTACGCCTTTGCTGGGGCCCTGACAGCATGCCTGAGGCAGCAAAACGAAGACCCTCACTACCTTCATTAGCAGGCAGAGACAGGTACGCGGGGGCAGCATCACTCACTCCCTACACTCTTGTCTCTCTCCCCCGCAGGGGAGGAGTGTATAACAATAAGGCTTCTTATTTAGGATACTGTGATGCTGCAAAAGATACAGCCACAGGAAGCAAGTAATACAAGCATTTCCCATCCAGGCTGTCTCCTCCCTGCAGCCCACGGGGAATGGTCTTCGCAGCAAACTGCCCCCAAAACTGCATTTTGAAAGGACTTGGTTAGCAGGAAAATAACTGGGGTGCAGCGTGGCCTGCATGGCCAGGGAATTGGGGTCTGGATGCAAAGCGAGCAGTGAAGCTGTTGGACAGCACAGATGTACCCACAGCTCAGTCTGATGCCTGTAGTTAAGTGGGGTGAGTCAGTGCCTGCCAGTTTGTGTGTCTGTATCCTGCTGTACCTTACCCCAGCAGCAGGTATATTGCTGTCTCAGCTGAAATAGGTTTGGCATGAAACACAATGTAGGAAAAAGAGGTAAATAAGTAAACCCAATTAATGTTACCACAATTCATTTTTCAAGTGGCAATCAGCTTGATTATAAGCACAAACCTCCCCCTCTTTCTCCAACCTTACATAAATGTTGCTGTGGTGCATATGTCAGCCTAATCTTGAAATACGCACATCTTACTCCATGGGGGTTAAATACCGTGTACTGTGCATCTCTGCTGGAGACGCAGCTAGAATAAAACATATGGTGTCAGACAGTGCCTGGGGCATTTCTATAGGAATAAACAGTGATTCTGTCCAAATGTAACTTCTCAGCAACTATCTGTGACCTGAAATTATGGATACAGCAGATGCTGTTAGTCTTTTAGGTAAGATTTGCAGTGCCTTGACTTGAGAGAAAGATGAGAAAGCAAAGGACCTGTTTTATTTTAGATCACTACTTGGTTAGGAAAAATGAAATCGTTACACATTGTTATTTTACAAAGAAGTGCTTTCCTGGCCTACTGTTTATGCCACTGGCACAGCTCAGCCTTAATTTCTACTGCTGTAAATAGCTCATGTAGACACAGGTGTAGTAGTGCCAAGAGTCTTCTACTTTAACATTCAGGATGCATCCCATCTGTAGATGAGACTAGGGTTTTGATATTAGCCATAAAAAGGAAGCTATATAGCTGCAGAGCTCTGTAAAGAAGGGGAAGTACTGATCTTAAATGCACCTGTAACAGTGCTTTTTTCATGTATGCGTGAGGTTACACCACCAAATATTTTTAGAAGGGAATGTCATTGCGTGCCTGATTGCCCCTCATTTCATTGAAGCAACTTCATAAATGTCTAACAGGCAGGGCTAAAATAAATAAGCCAATCTGATTTCTGTAGCATGTCTAATGCATGCACAGATACATGGAAGGTAACACTCACCTCTGCCTAATTCCAGACAGCAGGTCTAAGGCATCTGTTTGAACTCAGTCTTCTGGGCTGAGCAGGCTGCCACCATCAGGCTCACATACACATGCCCAGAAATCAAGGGAAATAGCAACTAAGAGATTTCCTTGACAATACAGAACAGAAAGGATGGTTGATGCAAGAGCTAGGGTGAGGCTAGGTGAGGCTGGCAGCTTGCTAGTTCCTGGGGTTCTCCTTTCTACTCTTCTTAAAAATAGGTGCAATGTTTCTCTTCTTCCAGTCAACAGGGTCTTCACCTGACTGCCATGACTTTTCAAATATCATAGAGAGTGGCTTGGCAACTACATCAGCCAATCCCCTCAGGGTTCTGGGATGCATCTCATCAGGTCCCATGGATTTGTGTATGTTCAGGTTCCTCAGGTGATCACAAACCTTGTCTGGCTTAAACACAGTAATGATGGATGGCAGGTGAATGTTGTTATGTGAGGACAAGTATGCTTTTCTGCTTTCTTCAGAAATATCTTTAAGACTATAGCCCTAACAGTCATGCATCCATTTTAAATAATTCAGTCATTGTACTCTAGATTGGAGGTCATTAACTGTAATTGCAAAGGTTTTAAGTTAGAATGAAAAATAAGAAATGAAAATCTACCAAACCTCCACATTTTCCAAGTTCTGACAAATGAAAAGTATGAACTTTCCTTTTAGGATCTGAGAAAACCTTCCTGATCTTTTCAGTTTCTCTTCATGCTGTGAATGCACGTAAAACACATTACACTTCTCATTATAGTCGCTCTATTATGAAAACAAATATTAACAGTGGATTCTTAGGGATCTGTCCAAAAGGAGTTTGCTGGCCCTTGATTCTGTAAGATCATAGTGTAATAAATGGCCACAAACCAATATATCAATTGTAAATGCTGCAGCTGGATTAATTACAGATACTCTGCTTTGGTGGGCAAATCCCCCAGTCAATAGGTGAGCATAACACAGAATCACAGAATATTAGGAGTTGGAAGGGATCTCAAAAGATCATCCTGTTCAACCCCCCTGCCAGAGCAGGATCACCTAGACCAGGTCACACAGGAAGGCATCCAGGCGGGTTTTGAATGTCTCCAGAGAAGGAGACTCCACAACCTCTCTGGGCAGCCTGTGCCAGTGCTCTGTCACCCTCATGGTATAGAAGTTTTTCCTCATGTTCACATGGAACGTCCTATGCTCCAGCTTGCTCCCATTGCTTCTTGACTTACCATTGGACATCACTGAGAAGAGCCTGGCTCCTTCCTCCTGACACTCACCCTTTACAAATTTATAAACATTAATGATGTCTTGGCATATGACCATAAGGACTTGTTTTTTCACTTTTGCCTCCCCAGGTGATCTCATGCATTTGCCACCCTACCTGAGGATGGACTTTTTATTGAACCGTGGTGCGCAGGGCACAAGCAGAGACCTGGGTTTGGGGCAAGCCTGCTTGGAGCCACAGAAAAGCCGAACCTTGAAGCGCCCCACTGTCCTGGAGCCGATACCCATGGAGACATCCTCCACAAGAGAAGTACAGTCATGGCAACCTGGTGCTGTGGCAACGTTACCTCAGCGAGAAGGAGCTGAGCTAGGACAGGCAGCAAAAATGAGCAGCTCCCAAGAATCCCTGCTGGACTCCCGGGGCCACTTGAAAGGAAACAACCCCTACGCAAAATCTTACACCCTGGTATAACAAAAAGAGCATGGCTGGACAGTGGCTGTAAATATTTACACTGAAAAAAAATCCAATGAAAGCTACCTTTTTTTTATTGAATTCCAATATTTATAATTAAAGAAGAAGATTGCCAAAATATTTGACAAAAAAATTAATAATATGAACGACAGACAGTGCAAAGACTCTCTTGCTTTTTTTCTGTCTGAGTGTGAGCTTCATCTGACTGGACATCTGAATTTTTGGGTAAAAGAGTCCAGTTTTCTGATCTTCACAAGCGTTTGTGTTTTTACTGATTTTCTACAAAGTGCATGGAGACTTAACTAAAACATTTTAACTGGAAGTTCCATCAGACAAGATTTAAAAAGGAAAAAAAATCACAAAAAAAAAAAATCACCCTATTTGTGAATTCAACAGAAACATTGATTTGGAAAAACAAAAAGTCTTTTGTCATGTTTGCACTTTTTTTTTTAATTAGAAAATGGGTCCTTGATTGTTCTTTTTTTTGTTGTTAATTAGGATGAGTGATGTCAGTGGAGTGAGGGGATTGGTTTGGCTTTTTTTTAATATTAATTTAATGAGACACTCTTTGCATTTTGTCTATGCGAAATAAAAGGGTCTTCTGCCTTTATTTGTGACGTCTGCCTCCATTGCCTTCTACTGTACTTGGTATTCCCTAAGTGTGATAGCCATGTCAGTACCGTACTGTGAACAATGTTTTCTTGTACCTTAGTCAGAAAAGAAAACCATGGGTCCTACCTTTGGGAAAAAAATGGGGTTTACTTACCTACAGCTTTTTTGCTACCATGGGGCAGGGAGCCAGAACAGCACAAGTCCCAAGCGCTCTAAATCAAACTCACTCAGGACTCTATGCATCCGCTTAATCTGCCATCAGGAGGCTTCCATTTGGCTTCAATACTTTTTGGATCAGAATAAATGTGTTGATGTTACTTTACTTACTCCCTAGGAATGGATCTTTGGTCCATTTGGGAGCTGCACTCACAGAAATTAGCAGCTTACGTAAGGACTGGGGGAAAAAAAACAGCTTTTCCCATAGTAGGAGAAAGGGGAGGAAAATGTTATTCTGGGTCTAATATCAACGTGGTTTTCTTTAAAGGAAAAAAATCTTTTTACGGGGGAGCTGTCAGTTCATATTACGTTGTTGCATCTTTTGATTACATGAGAAGTAATATTGCTTGCATTATACAATGCATAAATGATTGAGTACTACAGTTGGTGGGTTTAACACAACAACATTTGTGTTGCCTCGCTAAGTGCCTCCCTGTGTGTGTTCTGGCCACCTCTGTGTGCCCTGGCCAAGAGAACATGGTGCAGAGCATCCCAGATTAGTGCTGATACAAACACGCTGTTCAGTTGGCTGGAAATATTAGCTTGGGCCTCAAAGCAATAAAACTCAGTAAGCTTGAGCAAGCTGAGAAAATCCTGCAATTTCCCTGGCTGGTGACAGTGTGGGCGCTGCTAAAGCAAACATTTCTGCGCCATGCTCAGTTCAAGTTGTTTTAAAATAGAAAAATGCAGTTCTGTATAATTGGTTCATTAGTATTATTAATATAATTATGTTGTTATAAGGGCACTAAGTTCACAAAGTACTTAAGTGTCTTGAAATGAATCAAGCTGCACTTTCATCCTCAGCTCTGTCAAGCCCAGGTGCTAAAGTCCTGGAAAGTCCTACAGAAGAAGCTAAATGAAGACATCCTCACGGTATGTACTTCTTAGAGATCTACAGAGGAGTGCTGAGATGCCACTCAGATAAGGAACCATTTCCCATCTAGTCTACCTATTTGACCAATATGGTGATAGAGCATGCAAAAACACAAAAACAAAAACAAAAACCCCTAACAGAAAAAAAGAAAAAACCCACCCAACCTTTTTCCTCTGTAAAGAAAAAAAAAATCAAAAATTTAGAATTACCCAATAAGTATTCCCAAATAGAATGAAAATCTATGGGATGAAAAAATATTAAATTATTCATTTGTTTTGTTGGGTTTTTTTCCATATAGAAACACTTTGCTAATGCAAACCTAATTTAAACAAGCATAACAAAATCTTTTTTACTATTTTCCATTGAAAAAATACACAAAAACAGAAACTTTTATTGGAGATTGCATATTTGGGCAATCCAGTTCTTTTTGATTCCTACCGGAATTTTTGCAGTGTGCTCAGCTTGAGCTGAATGGGGCATTAATACCGTGTTTACAAATAAAAAATTATTTTCTCAGTAGCATTCAGCACTTCTGAGCCTCAGACCACTTTGATCTTCCACTTTGACAAACAATGATAAGACAAGGGGTAATGGACACAAGCTGGAACACAGGAGGTTCCACTTAAATTTGAGAAGAAACTTCTTCTCAGTGAGGGGTGACAGAGCACTGGACCAGGCTGCCCAGAGAGGTTGTGGAGTCTCCTTCTCTGGAGACATTCAAAACCCGCCTGGACGCCTTCCTGTGCAACCTCATCTAGGTGTTCCTGCTCCGGCAGGGGGATTGGACTAGATGATCTTTTGAGGTCCCTTCCAATCCCTAACGTTCTGTGATTCTGTGATTCTGTGATTCAAGCTTCCTTCTTGTCCTCTGAAAAAAGGCAAAAAGCTTTTGGGCAAAATCGAGACTTGATCCATTTGTTCCTGTGGCTCTTGGCTGCCCTCAAGCATAGGGATGGCAGGTCCCATGGCAGTACTCCACACCAAAACTCTCATTCAGTGACAGATAAAAATGAGTGTGAGATGTTTTAAGCTCCTGATGACTGCTAGTGGTGGAAACATTCCAATAACTCCCTAAATCTACATTTGGCTGACAATCTGGAAAGTGCCAACTTACTTGGCACTTTATTTAACAAGACTTCCTCCTCATCTGCATTCAATATGCCTGGTAATATTCATCCTCCTTATGAAGTGAAGATGCCTTTGGGGGCCTCATATTCAAAGAAATTCATGGCAAGTCTCCTGCTGGTTAAAATCAGAGTGGAAACGGGCTGTTGCTTAGCACACAGAGGCCCAGACCAGCAGGGTGCCTGGCTCCACGCCCTGGATTGAGCCAGCTCTTCAGCACATGTAACTGTAAACAGGTGTACAGTCCCCTTGGCTTGGCGGTTTTATTGGCTTTTAATTTTCCAAACAGCACTGGAGCTGTAGAGCTAGTTAAACACATAACAGAAGCTTTAAGGAAATGCCTGTACTACCCTCATCTAGTCAAGGTTTGGAGGTAATCTCTTCTCTCAGATCACTGCAGCTGGGAGCAGTCAATTCCCTGCTGGTTTGTAGTACCAAGATAAGAGTAAACATCCTGACGGGTCCCTACCAGCATCAATTTAAACACTTCCCTGCAACAGAACCATCAAAATCCACGGATCTTATGAGTCTGCATCCCAGGATGTGATACACTTCCCCCCTTGCACCGAACGCCCTTTTGGAAAATGTTCATGGAAGTGAAAAAAAAAACAGTTGGCACCAGCATGTGACCTCAAAAGAAACTCCCTAAAGTACCAGAACATCAACATATCAAGCAAGCGGGCCTTGCACAGAACTAGGTCCCTGTCTTAGTCTTGAGGGTGATAGGAGACTTCACTTCAAAAGAGGAATTTAAGAAATAAAGTTCTTCTCTGTCTTCTGTCTACTAAAAATTGTACCTCCTTAGAGAGAAGCATTCTTTTTCATATTACACTTTTCCCTGTGCCCCCAACCTCAGCTGACCCTTTAATGATTCACAGATAGTAATTAACTCTCCCTTTTGTCTCAAATGAGTTAGCAACTCCCTCACTCCTGCCTTTTATAAGAACCCTTTTATCCTTCTTTATTCCATTACTGTTTCACTTAAATAGTCTGATTAACACAATTACATTGAGCTCAGTACAGTTTTTCCCTCTCCTTGCTTTTAGGTTGGAGATTGCTTGTCCTATTCAGATCCAAAGAAATTCTGCCATTTAAAAGTTTTCTTTTTGGTTGATCAATATTTTTAACTGAGTGAGCTCCATAGCAGTGTTACCATAGCTAAGAGGAGTTAGGAGTTTTAAGCAAGGTGAGGTATTATTACACCAAACAACTCAGTTGAAAAACAAATAATAGCAACCCTGGACTACCCCTAGGACAAACAGAGAGTCCAGAAGATCTTTGCACAACTGAGTTTCCCCCTTTCCCAGGAGTGGATGATACACACTCCTGGCTCACAGCTGGGTGAATGGCAATAGGTCTCTACCTGATTCCTTGCAGTAAGTGATTTAGGGTAAATGTCTTCAGACTTGACACCCAACATCCTTTGCCTGCACAGCCAGGTATGTATGAAGAGAGGTTTATTGGCTGGTTAGGCTTGTGGGGTCTTTTGTGGGGGGTCATCTTTTATCATCTGAAGACATGAACAGTAAAGAGGGGGGAATAAAGGAGGAAGTTGGAAAGGCAAACTCCTCCAGCACACCATTTTCCTGAGTAGGCTGAAAAGCTCTCCCAGAGACGGGAGCTCTCTTTGAAAAGAAAGGAAAAGTAAAAAGAAAAAAAAGCATACAGTTTGGACAGCCCATTCATAGTTTTAGTGTTAGTCAGGTTATTTTAGGTCACAGCAGTCGCTTAATGGGCTCTTGCGGCCGACTATGTGGCATTCCAGCAGGGAAAAGAGAGTGCTTTTCACCATTAATTTTCTCTGGGCTTGCCTGAGTCTCCCAAGGGAAACCTCACCATCTCTCTAGAAAGAAAATGCCTCTGCAGGAAGTGCACCAGCCCAGCGCACACTGCTGACACTGCAGGGGGGTCATACAGTGTGCTTCCCTGTGGGCTTTTTATACTTTCTGAACTATTCCTCCTCTTTTTACAATGGATGTTATGTTCCCTTGTTTCAGAATTTCAGGGCAGGTAGTTGCTGGAGTTGACACAAAAGGGACTTGTAGCTATTCTTAGGGATGGCAAGGGCCAAGTAAACTTTCCAGCAGGTCTCCAGCATGGGACCATTTTGTATGCCAGCTCCACACCCCACAACAACCTCCTCCTGCCTCAGATTTAAGCACCTCTGCCCTCTGAGGTGAAGGAATGTTCCCCTTGCAGGCGCTTGCTGAAAATGTTCGGTACTTTTCAGACTTGACAGTAGGCAAGGGGACAGGCACCAGGGATAACCCTGAGCACAGAGCTGGCCGGACACAGCCATGGCGAGAGGAGGCAACTTTCCTGCCTGTTGGAGCAATCGTTTGAGATTAAAATGAAGACAGGTCTCTTTGTGATGTGCTTGTCAGGAGCAAGGCTGCTGCAGGTATTTGTTCTGATGCTGATGGACAAGAAACAAATACACAGAATTTCTAACCTGTGACTTTTTTTTTTAATGGGAAATGCATAGGTACATAAGATTTTGAAATCTCTGGGACCAAGTTTGGAAGAAACTAGTCTCTATCTCGGCCATGGAAGAGTAATACCAAAACCAATTTCTCAAATTACTGTAACAAAAAAAATTGTTTTAAGATAAGTTGTGGAAGTTACTGGTTTTACATTGAAACTGTCAAGTTTTCATTCTCTTAGTCAGTCAGAAAGCATAAAATAAATAC